GTGTCTCTCTCTTTTATCTTTACTCTTACTTGCAATTATATTAACTGTGAAAACTAACCCATCCATATTGATCACTGCTCACTCTACCCACCAAATTCCGCACACAATCTAAAGTTCTCAAGAACTCTAGATTAACACTTATTTTCACGTTTTCAAAAGAAACGAAAAAGATTTTAAATTTTGTAACAAAGTCTATTCACCCCCCCCTCTAGACTTTGTATCTCACCACTTTGGGACCACCAATAGCTCTCCGCGCCAAGAGAAAGTTCGGTTTTATCGACGGATCTATACCGTGTCCCGAAGAAGATTCCGACAAGGTTGAAGAATGGTGGATCGTAAACGCTATGCTTGTCTCATGGATTTACATCACCATTGAGACAGACTTGCGAAACTCCATCACTCAAGTAGAGGTGGCGGCCGATTTGTGGAATGATATAAAGGCGAGGTTCTCCGTGGCAAACGGCCCACGGATCCATCAATTGAAAAAGGAACTGGCGAACACCAAGCAGAACGGCCAGGAGATCGTTAAGCACTATGGCAAGTTAAAAGCAATCTGGGATGAATTGTATGATATGTTGAAGGTGCCGGCATGCAAGTGTGGTGGGTGCAAGTGTGGCTTAACCGCACTATTGGAGAAGCAACGTGACAAAGAAAAGGTGCATCAATTTCTGATGGGCCTGGATAATGAAGGTTATGGAAGCCTACGCTCGAACATTCTCAGTGCCGAGCCGTTGCCTTCCATCAACCGGGTTTATTCCGTGATAACCCAACAAGAAGGTGTGCTAAAGCTAACAACCGAGGAAGAACGAAACCCTATGGGTTTCGCCGTGGCTGCGGGAAGACCAACTCGGGATAACAGCCTCAAGTGCAAGCACTGTGGGCAGACGGGACACGAAATAAGCGGCTGTTTCCAAATAATCGGGTACCCGGAATGGTGGGCAGACAGACCACGCATGCAGGGTGGCGGACGTGGAGGCAGTCGCGGCGGCAATGGCGCATAAACTGGCAGGCGCAATGGAAGGGGAGGCGCTGCCGCTGGACGCACTGCAAATAGACCAGAGCAGCCGAAAGACAGAGGCGGAGAAGGTTATTTTGCGGG